GGAAGCATACAGGTCAGTAACATGGATCTACATAAAGAAAGGATAAATATTGAAGAAGAATAAACAAACCTAAGAGAAAATATTTTATTTTTCTTATTCTTAGTTGGTCTAAAATACAACTGTTTAAAGGAGTAACAATAATAAAAGTAATACTAATAATGTATTGTGTGATTATGACACATGGTTAAGTAAATTGAATGACAGTAAGGCAAGTAGTGATGAAGAGAAATTGGGAATATTCTGTTGAGGAAATCTGCACTACATGTGAAGCAGAATAGTGGTATTTGAAGGTGGTTAAGATTCGTTCAAAATGTATAATGTATAGCAACCACTAATTTTTTTAAAAGTGGTATATATAACTGATATGCTAAAAGAGAAAATATAATCATATTAAATGCTCACTTAAAAGCAGAGAAAGCAGAAATATAGTAAAAGAAAAAAGAAAACAAATAGAAACAAAACATACAAATGGAAAACAGTCACAAACATAGTAGATGTTAGTCCAACTACATCAATAAATATTATGATTGTGAGTAATCCAAACACACCACTTAAAAAACATAGACTGCCTGAGTGGATTATAAACAAGCAAGCAAACAACAAAAAGACCCAAGTATTTGTTGGCTCCAGGAGACTTACCTTAAATATAATGATACAGATAGATATAGTAAAAATAAAGGTATGAATAAAGATTTACCACTTTAACACTAATCAAAAGAAAGCTGAAGTACTTATATTAATTTCAGACACAGCAGTCTTCAGAACAAGCAAAATTATCAGAAATAAAGAAGGGTATTACATAATAATAAAGGAGTCAATTCTCTAAGAAGACATAGTAATTCTTATTACAAGTACATTTAACAATAGGTCATCAAAATCATGTGTGACAGCAGTGGTGGCATACACCTGAAATCCCGGCTACTCAGGAGTTTAAAGTAGGAGAACTGCTTCAGCTCAAGAGTTTGAAGCCAGCCTGGACAACTTAGTGGGACCTCATCCCCCACTGCAAAAATGTTAGAAAATGGAAAAAAAAAAATGTGACACAACAACTGATAAATATGCAAAGAGAAATCTACAAACCCACTTCTATAGTTGGAAATTTTGAAATTGCTCTTTCAGTAATGGATAAATCAAGTAGGCTGAAATCAGTAAGCATTTATTTGACTTGAACAGAACTGTTAATTGACTTGATCTGACATTTATAGAACATTAGATTCAACAACAGCAGAATACAGATACTTCTCAAACTAGCAGGGAACATGCAACAAGATTAATCAAAATCTGGGCCTTAAAATTCACCTTAACAAATGCAGAAGAGCTGAAATCTTACAAAGTGTGTGTTTCATATCACAATGGAATTAATTCAAAATCAAAGCAAAAGGAAAGCTAGAGTATTCTCCAAATATTTGTAGTGAGGAAAGGGACCCAAGCATCTAGGCTCACCTCCCATTTGACTTCCACACTGCATTTCAATAGAAGAAAAGGCTGGACAACCAGTGCCTCCTTAATTGCCTTCCTATAGGTAGCAGGCATAGTATGGGGGAATATTTCCAGAAGACACAGTTTTTACTTAAACAAGATCAAACCCCTACCCCACACCTACTCCATGGACCAAGACCCTTTCCCATGTAATTTCTAAAACTATAAACCCAAGACCCTTTCACATGTAATTTCTAAGCCTGTAAACCAAAGACCCTTTCACGTGTAATATCTAGAGCTGTAAGCCTATGTAAAGGAAGAGTTTCTCTTTGTTAGAGGAGCTTGGCAATCGGGCAGCTATGTGCCTTGCTCCCGGCCAAAATAAATCACTCTTTCCTTCCGAGTTTGGTGTCTGAGAGGTCTGTTTCTCATGGCTGTTCCTGCTTCATTTTGGTTCCCTCACTGGGAAGCTAGTTTCGGTTGGTAGACAGCTGGCAAAGCCTCTCAGGTGGTCTGCCTAGCCCTTTGGAGCATCCCTGCGTGGGGCTCCTGCCCACAGGGTGATGCAATTCCTGAGAGAGCTCCTGGGCAGGTATTGGCCTGGTGGAAAGCCTCACCAGAGCAGAGCTGGGAAGCCCCCACAGTGTGGAATCACCCAGTGGCTGAATACCGAGAAGGAAAGGGTACTTGGAAGGTCCAGACAACAGAAACATGGTAGGATCGATCCTGGGAAACTTGCCCACTTCCTTTAGGGGGAAGCGTAGCATGATCACCACATGTGCTGGAATTTGGCACTCTTGAGCTTTGCGCTTTCTCTTTCTCTCCTTCTGCCACTAACCTTGGAAGTTTTGCTTTTGGTTTCCATTTGGGTGGAGGGAGGAGAGTGATTGTGTGAGTGAATGGAGGGGTCCAACTGGACTCATCGGCCATGAAATGTGGGAGTGTCAGGCCCGTTAGAGAGGGCCTTACACTCTGAGCGACTTGTGGGGCTGGCTGGAATTACAGACAACCACATAAGGCTAAATGGAGGAGCTCTCGCAATCTAGGCATTGTGAGAGGATTAATGATTTCTCTTAATGCCAAATAGTGTCTGAAATACTTTAGAAAGAAAGGCGATTCTACCAACCTGAAGCAAATGTGAATCAGAGAGTCTGTAGTGCTCCTTGCTGGGTGGGAACTGCTGTGGGTGGAGTAATGCTCTCTTAACTGTGAGGTCTGTTTTTCAGTGTGTAAGCATGGGTCACACTCATAGCAAGCCCACTCCTTGAGGGACCATGCTGAAAAATTTCAAGAAGGGATTTAGTGGGACTAAGGAGTAACTATGACACCAGAAAAGCAAAGGACTTTATGTGGGGTAGACTGGCCCTTAGAGGGGACCCTAGATAGGTCTCTTGTCTCAAAAGTATGGGATGAGTTTATATGCAGTGAGCCAGAACACCTTGATCAATTTCTGTACATAGACTCGTGGTTACAGTTAGTTTTAAACCCTCCGAAGTGGTTAAGAGGACAGGATGCAATTATTTCAGTGGTGAAGTGACCGACAGCTAAGAAAAACATCCCAAACCCCACTCCACCTGCCAAAAGACAAGGACTCCCAAGGTCCTGGCAAATTTGGTAACAGAGATGTGGACTCCCAAGGTCTTGGCAGATTCAGTGGCAGGAAAACAGCCTGCTAAGGTTCTGGCAGATCCAATGGCAGAAGAGTTTTTGCCAATAATGCCCCTCCTCCTCAAGGACTCCCTGCAACTAAAACTGCCTCAGGCAGGGATTATCAAGGCTCCCATAGTCACTTGGGAGGAGGAGTGAAGACCCTCCTAACCAGGGACTGAAAACTGCAGGCCAGTGCAGGGCTTGTATTTGGCTAATCAAGCTGCAGTGACAAACTCTCATTAGGTGCATTATCTCATTACTCTTGCAGGCTGTGGTTAGGGGAGGTGAGAAGGGTAAACTAAAAGCTATTGTGGGGTAAGATAGCCTAGGAGAGAGGCTGTCTGCAGCATTCTATAACACCTGTGGTTCTTCTAAGAATTACTAACCTAGGACACTGAATTTTACCACCCAATTGTTATCAAGGTGTATCTGCATAGAAGAACAGCAGATAAGGTGCCACCAAGTCTGACCACACAAAATGCATCAAGGGGCTTTTATCTCCTGAGCATTGTGGACACAGCAATCAGAGTTACTCCATATTCTGATAACCTAGGCAGAGCCTGTGGCTTTCCGGCTATCTCTGCCCTGCAAGGCCTTCCTGCCTTGCAAACCCCCATCTGCAAAGACACTCCTGAGTATTGTGAACAGAGGTCACATTCCTTCCCAGAGTTCTTGCACAAGCCCTCTTTACAAGACCCTCATGCAGACTCTATGTTGGGAAGTCGTGGGACCAAAGCAGTCTTTCCTGCCTTGCAACCACACCACTGCATTCCATGGTTTTAAAGCGCTCTCAGATGGTCTTTACTATAGGCCTCCTCTTACCGCTTGACTTCTGTTTTTACACGCCTTAAACAATTTTTGTTTTACTGCACCATTGTTTGGAGTTTTAACTCAATATTTGATCCACAGCATGAAGCTCAATGTATAAAATGCAAAGCAAGCTTATAATCATTTAACTAGAAATAACATAGGCCTGCCCCTGGCCATCTCGGCCCACAGATTATGGCTAAATCGAATTTGCAGCCAGCCCTCAGGGAGTATTGGCAGTATCCACAGAAGACCAAGTGAGGCTGTGTAGGTTACTGCCCAGTGCCTTGACCAGCCCTAGACTTCAATGCATATGTTGTTTAGAGAAGCAGCTACTAGTTAAACTAAGGAAGCCTATTTTTTAATTTCTATTGCTATATCAGAAATTACACTTCATTGTTTAAACAATAATCATTCACCATATTCCACAGTTTCTTTAAAAACAAAAAACAACTTTAAGTTCAGGAGTACATGTGCAGATTTGTTACTCAGGTAAAATATGTGTCATGGGGATTTGTCATACAGATTATTTCATCACGAAGGTATTAAGCCTAGTACCTATTAGTATTCTTTTCCAATCCTCTCCCTCCTCCCACACTTCATCCCCCAGTAGGCCCCAGTGTGTTGTTCCCCTCTATGTGTCCATGTATTCTCATCCTTTAGCTCCTACTTATAAATGAGAACATGTGGTATTATTTTTCTGTTCCTGCGTTAGTTTGCTAAGGATGATGGCCTCCAGCTCCATCCAGCCATTCTGACTGGTGTGAGATGGCATCTCATTGTGGTTTTGATTTGCATTTCTCTAAGCAAATCAATTGAGTTGACCTTTTTTTCATAAGATTATTGGCCACATGTATATCTTCTTTTGGTAAGTGTTTGTTCATGTTTGTTACCCACTTTTTAATGGGACTTTTTCTTGAAAATTTAAGTTCCTTATAGATGTTGGATAAGTAGACCTTTGTCAGATGCATAGTTGGCAAAAATTTTCTCCCATTCTGTAGGTTGCCTGTTTACTCTGCTGATATTGTCTTTGGCTGTATAGTTCCTTTTGCTGTGAAGCAGCTCTTTAGTTTAATAAGACCCCAAGTATCGAGTTTTGCTTTTGTTGCAATTGCTTTTGGCATTTTCATCATGAAATTTTTGCCTCTGCCTATGTCCTGAATGATTACTGCATAGGTTGTCTTCTGGGGTTTTTATAGTTCTGGGTTTTACATTAAGTCTTTATCTATCTTGAGTTAATTTTTATGTATAAGGAAGGGGTCCAGTTTCAATCTTCTGCATATGGCTCGTCAGTTATCCCAGCACCATTTATTGAGAAATCCTTTCCCCATTGCTTGTCTTTGCCAGGTTTGTCAAAGATCAGACAGTTATAGGTGTGAAGTCTTATTTCTGGTGTCTCTGTTCTGTTGGTCTATTTTCCTATTCTTGGATCAGTACCATGCTTTTTTTGTTACTGTAGCTCCATAGTATAGTTTGAATTTGGATAGTGTGATGCCCCCAGCTTTGTTCTTTTTCCTTAGGAATGTCTTGGCTATTCAGACTCCTTTTTAGTTACAGATGAATTTTAAAATAGTTCTAGTTCTGTGAAGAATGTCAATGGTAGCTTAATGGGAAGAGCACTGAATCTGTAAATTGCTTTGGGGAGTATGGCCATTTTCACGATACTGATTTTTTTCTAACCATGAGCACAGAATGTTTTTACATTTGTGTCATCTCTGATTCTTTGAGCAGTGGTTTGCAGTTATCTTTGTAGAGAGCTGTTACCTCTTTAGTCAGCTGTATTTCTAGGTATTTTATTCTTTTTTTGCTTCCACAGTTTCTGAGGGTTAGGAATTCAGACAAGGCACAAAAGTGACAACTGCTCATATTGTCTTTCTTAGGGCTCAGATGGAACACTTGTATCCTAGAGACTGAAATTTTATTTTTATTCCCTCAGAGAGAAACATTTAATAGGGACTTAGAACAGAAGTGAGATCTTAGGCCACTGAGAGAAAATGAATCCCTGAACTTGCCCTCCAGAAAGTACCTTTTTTATAGCAAACTTCTTTTGGTAAGACATATGCAGCTGCTCAGGTCTCAGACACTCCTGTGAAACTCTGACCACTGGGGAGGTTGGAGAAGCATTTTTATGAGGGGTTATCTATGCTACAGGTACTGTTTCTTGACATTTCTGTAAGAACATTGGTATGCAGGAGTTATTATGGCAATTTCACTTCAAGATGGTGTTGCTCTTGCCATGCAAGGGACTGCTTGCCTACATGGAGACTGAACCTTCTTAAGACTCCTTTAGTCCTATGACTGGCATCTGATGTTAGCTGTCAGCTAAGGCCCTAGCTGGACTGTCACTTGGAAAACCTATATGTCACCTTTGAAACATGTGCCTTAATTTTTCTCACCACATTGTAGATAGGTTCTATGGGTATACATCAATAGAGAACCAGGAGGAAGCCATCTTGCCTTATATGAACTAGCTGTGGAAGTCATGTGGCATCATCTCCACCACATTCTATAGGTTGAGGTAGTTTCAAATGCATATTCTGGTTAAAGAAAAGGGAACACAGATGACACATTTTGATGGAGGCATGTCAATCTGTCAATGTCATATGTAAGAACATTTTGTGGGATCGGCTATATCTTGGTTAGGCCATTGTTAGAAAATATAATGGGATACAGAGCCAGATACACAAAACCCTGTAACTGTTACTTTTCTCCTCACCCATAAGGTTATAAAAGCTATGCACTTCTTCCTAGCTGCTCAGGAGTCATCTTGCAAAAGTACTGATCATGAAGGGTAGAAGACAAGAAATGTGACAGAATTATTTCTAAGAAAGGCTAGCATTACAAAAAGCTGCCTTTTAAATTATCTAATATGAACTTAGTTCTATACTGGGTAGGATTAACAACTAATTTTTTTACTACCCCACGTGTGGGGATTGGCACAGAAAAGAATAGATTAGTAATACATATAATTTAAAAATTACGTTTTTCTCAATACCTTTATTCTCAATTGAAATTTGTGATTCTGTTTTTACTGAATTGGGTTAAAAAATATTACCACTGGCTTAGGGATAATTCTTGATATTACAAAAAAATGCTTGCTTGCATTTAAAATAGTAAGTTGCCTGATTTGGATTAGATGATAAAATTGTTGACATTCAAAAAGTCTCATCTGGAGTTCAGGCAGACACCTCTGAAATAGGAAAATGATTGTATGTTCATAGGCCTCTATAAATATGCACCTATTAAACAGAAACCTAATCGTTGCTTTTGGAGGAAGTTCTAAACCAATGACTATTGATGCCCCCAGAATAAAACCTGCGTATGTAGAGTTAGGGAAATTTACCATGTGGTATTGACATTAATTTTTGTGATTCATGCATGTGAGAATATTCAGTTAAGAAAATGGGAGTTCTCAGTACCAGTATAGAAAAGTGAGAAAAGGAGGCAAACTTTGGGCATAAGGAGATTAAAAACAAATAGCTCCTCCTTCCTCTGGCCAAGGGATACTTGGAGATTCATTTTTTTAATGTTCCTTTGAGCTGCCAGTCAGGAGTCATGTAGGTGTTATTGTTCTAATCTTTATCTTTTGTTTTTATTCTATTTTCTTGAAGACTTGTATCTTTTATCTCCTATACTAAATTGCTTATTTTGGGTATCATATTTTAATTCTCAAAGAGTTTTCTTTTGTAATTGTTCCTTCTTTATGCCATTAAAAAAAAAAGTAAATGCTATTATTTTCTCTTACCTTTCTAAAGTTAGTATAAATAATTACTTTAACTTACATTTTCTTTGCTTTCCCTATTTTCTGTTTACTTCTTAAGTAGTTATTTTGATGTTAAAGAATTTCCTCATTTGACTGATGATTCTTTTTTTTTTTTTTTTTGACTGATGATTCTTAACTATGCAGATATATTTAAGAGTGAGACACCAAAACAGATGAGTAGCTCCGTCAGTGGGTGTGGCTCTTGGACTAGAAGTCTTCCCTGCAGGGTGATAAGGTGAACAGCTACCTTTACACTACGGATGTTTCACATCAATATCTATTCATCCTGTTCCCTTTGGTTGGTCAGATTTTCCAGAGAACGATCCTCCAGTATTATCACAGGAAGTTATAAAGCCACCTTCTAAAAGAGGAAGTTTTCACACTATTCTCTATGCACACATTTACCTAATCTCTCCATGTCTACTTTGCTCCTTGATTTCCTGCATGCTTGCCTTCTCTATATCTAGAACTTCTCTCGTCAGTTTTCTTCAGAGAATAAACACATAGACTCCTTGGGGTTAAAGAAGGAGAGTCAGCTATATTTGTTTACAGTGAGAACCCAAAGGATATGACTATTCCTAATAAAGTCTTTCATGGAATTTCTTTGTAGTCAGCCCCCTACACATTCACAAATTTTACATTGAATGTTACACAAACTTCCTGGGCCTTTCTGGGGTTCCATAGAGCAGATTCCCATGATTCTCACTGAACCACCACAACAACTGCAAGAACATTGCTAAACATTTATCTTCTACCACCTGCCTTGCATCACCCTGCATTGGGATAAGAGGGTTGTGGAATTCCCCTGGATTAATTGAATTCAAAATTCATATTTCTGTTCTTTGTTCTTTTTTTTGAGATAATTTTTTAAGAAAAAGGGAAAAGATATGTTCACTCTGTCTTTTTGAAATAGTAAGTCTTGTTTTATAATAATGTATTTTTATTACAAAATTAATATGCTTAAGCTAGAAGAGATTTAAATAGAAATGACAACCTAAAAATCATCCTTAATCCTGTCACTCTAAGATAATTGGTATTAAAGTACATATTCTTGACATATTAATTCTCATTCAAAGATGATTGTTAAACCACCCAGATCCTCAAGATTTTTTCTCACAAAATAAAAGTATTAGACTAAATGAACAATAAGGTAAAATACACCTTTCAGAGCCTGTTTACTATTTAATAGAATGAAGCTTTTTATTAGAATTTCAAGTATATTTATTTCTACTTATAATTTCTATTCTGTTACGACTTTTATCAACATTAGGGAGCACCACCTACAGATATGTACTTTAAGACTTGATACTTAATTTCTATACAAAGATATGACTAAATAAGTAAGCCAAGTTAAAAACAAAAACTTTCATACCATAAAGAAAATAAAAGGTGTTAGTCATCAATTGCTCCTCCAGGAAGAAAGAAATTATCTATAGTTTCATTTCTCACAGCTTAGAAACAGTAACACTTGTAAAGCTCACATGAACTACCTAATTAATCAATCATGATTCAAGACATTGAAAAATCCTTTCACAATAGAGGCCATGTCTTATTTGTCCTTATGTCTTTCATGGTGCCTAGATAGCTGCTTCACACATCTTGACTCCTAAGAAAAGGAAATTAAATACCTGAAAAAATAATTCTGAAAAAACTTAATAGACCACGTTTTTACATTCAGGTGAGGTTTCTCCCTTTGCTGAGATTAATTTCAATCTAGCCTAATATATGGGGAGAAATTAATTTATTGTGCAGATGGCATTTGCAAGTTAAAATGTTGTTTGCCTGGCTTTCCTCTGAATGAAGTTTCTTCTCTTTCTCTCTCAAGCAAAGAAAAACATCGTTTCATTAAATATGTATGGAGATGTCTAACTTTCAAATATGCCAAAAGAAAAATGGTATATTTGGAGTATAATGAATTTGATCAATTAAAATTTTTAAGTTTTAATTATGTTTTACTAAACAATCTATATTTATTGCATAAAAATAAAAATACAGATGAGCAAAAACAAATAAATAAAAATATTAGAACCATAATCCCAACAGTTAAACATAGCCACTGTTAATATTTAGCTCTAGTTTTTTATGCTTATCATACTTAAAAGCAAGGAATTGTATGATTTAAACACACACACACACAATAAAACCAAAAACCAAAAGACAAAACAAAAAAAAAAACCAGAAATGAGCCTATTTTTCTCAAAGGTCTCACAGTCAGACGAGGATTAAAGACCTGCCAAAGCCTCTAATATGGCTGATCAAAACAAGTACTCAATGCTCATGCTCAACGCAAAGATCTGTATTATGAATTGAGAGAATGAGGATCCAGTGATCTTACCAACTACTGGTATCCTTTCATCTCTCATCTTGCTTTCATTTTTCTTTGGAATGAATACAACCAGATTAAGGTGAAAAACCAGTGGGTCATCTTGGACCATTACTTGCATATGTCTGAAACTTCTATCTTTTCAGGTTAGAAAAGTCATTCAAACAAGTAGGATATGCAATCATTCTGAACTTGGGCAAATCCATGGTTTAGTACAAGGGTTGGCGAACCAAATTCAGCCCACTGCCTATTTTCTTATGGCCTATGTGCTATAATTATTTTTAAATTTTTAAATGGTTGAGAAAA